GTTCTGATCTTTGTTTGGAACTATTTTCGTTGGTGAAATAGAACAAAACAGTGAATTGTGTCTAAAAATGTAAGTAACTTCATAGACTTTACTACTCGTTTGTTGAACTAAAATCAATGTAACATTTGCAATCATGAAAATAGCGAGCTGGTGTTCGACTATTCTGTAACTGCAATTCTCTCTGATGACTCGGTAACTACAGCGGGGGGGGGGGTTGGGGGTTGGGTACTCTTGATGGACACTCACTGTGTCCGTCAGACTGGAGGAATGTTTGTGGTAATGTGACCAAAAATATTTAAGACCTACTGAATCTGAATTTAAGACATTTTAAGACTTTTTAAGGACTCGTGGCCACCCTGAATATGTGTTGTTAATTGAGTAAATCTAAAATATATATGTACAGGCTATATATAGGGTAGACTATTTTTATTGCACACACACACACACACACACACACAAAATAAATGTCTTAGGCCTACCTTGTGAACCAAATGGCAGATGAAAACGAAGCTTTCATCTGTCACCTCCCTTAACAGTCCAACTGCCTCCATGCGAACTTCAGCTCCATAAGTCCTCCTTACAGAGCTGACATGGCTCAAGAACTGATGTAATGTCCTCGAATGAACTGACGATGACGGCAACAGTAGCGAGGTGGCCTGTCCACCTCTGGTCAAGTAAACGTTTGAGTCTGTCACCTTTATATTGCAGGGCAACTGTGGGTTTACAGAAGAAGTTATAAAGTGTGTTGCATATTCTGAAAAAATCTTGAATGGCTTGCTCAGCAGATAACGCATGCACGACGACTAAGTGCAGCTGATGGTTTAGGCAGTGTACATAAAGTATCTCCCGGCCAACCTTTTCTTGCAGAAGTCGCTGAACTCCACCACATTTGCCCGCTATCACTGCCGCTCCATCGTACACTTGACTCAGAATCTTAGAAGTATTCAAGCCTGCCTTGGTCAGCTCTGACAGTATTATATTTGTGATGGTTGGTGCATCACCCGAATTTGCGGTGGTCATCACCAGCAGTAGTTCTGTAACAACCATAGTTGTTTCATCGAAGTAGCGAACTACAATGGAAACAATTTCCATTCCAGTAGGGTCCCTGGTTCTGTCTACTTTAACTGTAAACCATGAATCGCCGATTTCCTTCACTATTGCGTCAGTAACAAGGCTGCTCATGACAGCAATGAGATCATTTTGAATTTCATGGCTTGTGTAAGTGGCATTTTTTGGAATTGTTTTCACAATTTAAGCCAGGTGGGGATCCTTCCTTATGCTGAATTCCAGTAATGACATGAACAGTCCACTCCCACCTTCATCCAAATGATCAAAGGCCTCAATTTTACCCCTCAGAGGTAACTGATTGGACACCAGGAACTCCACGACATAAATAAGCGAAGACAAGTAATATCGATTCCTCTGTATTTGTTCTGCTTGCAGTAGGGTCGAGATTTCTTTACCTTTATCTATTCGGCTTACTTTATCTTTCCACATACTGTAACAAGTCAGGTGCTCTTTGGACATTTCATGTCTGTTGAATCCTTTGTTTGTTTCTACTGTGTGCTTCCAATCTTGGAAACCTTTGTATGTAAATGCTGGGTGTAGGGTATCAGACCGACTCAGACAATTTAAGATTTGATCAAGAACATGGTTGCAATACGAGGAGTCGAATTCCACAGAAAGGCCCAAGACACAGAATGTTCATAATTCAGATCCTGGCGCCACGAGTCTGAAGCAAGTCTACCAACTAGCAGCTTTGAGCAGCTCACAGCATTAAAACAAAAATGTATGTAACCCACACGTGTGACTATCATGTTCTAATCACTTATTGTGTGTGTATTTTGAATAGTTTTGTGTGTAACTATTGAATAGTTATAGGATTATATTTATGTTGAGTATGTATGAGTGTGAAAATTCATGCTTTAAACGTTTCTATCAATCAATACTTTGTCAAATGTATCATATTCTTGTTATAGAAATTATGTCCAAAATTATACTCTGCGACAGCGGGAAAATTCGGACCATGTGACTGATAAGATAACATTTGATTTATGTATTGGGAGGAGAAACATCGCAACACCCCGAGCTATAATTGATCAAGGCACCATTTGGGATTAGTCAAACAGCCCGGTTTAAATACTCAGGAGACCATCAAATTATGCCTTTTCCCTTTCCTGTTTTTTAGTCATGGCTTTTAGCCATGCTTTTTAGTCATGCTTCTAGCCATGATTTTTATTTATGCTTCAAGTCTTTGCTTTTGCGTTCTTCGAGCGCCGTTCCAGCGTGCTTCGACCTGCATGCCCACTGCTACTTAGCCATGATGAGAAGAAAACTACCCTTACGAAAAATAAGTTTATTCAGTGTGTCCTTTCATGTAACTTTTCTCCATTCATTCTTAATTATCCTTCACAAAACCTATGGCACACATAAGTGGTCATATTAAAATTCAATGAGCACTTTTCCACCGTCACACTGAACATTCTTGTTGCTGAACCATTCCATATTAATTTTCCACAACAGGGATAATAACAGAGCTTTTTGGAATATAAATAGAAATGCATCACTCTATGCCTTGGTATTGGTAATGCGAGAGTATAAGATGTAAATTAGCAACCACAATTGCTTGTGGCAAATTTTTTGAAACAATTTGCAGTATTGAGTGGTCTAAAATTTAAATTCTTCTACCTTTTAGTTTTCACAAATTGTTCTCCCCCACACATATGAAGAATTGGTTGAATCAAGAGCAGAACAAACAGAGCTTGTGAAAGAAAAGGCAAGTGAAAATGTAGTGAAATCCCAGACAAAGCAACAGGAAGCCTATTTAAAATGCATACAAAAAATATTACATCAAAAGAACATCACCTTCAATGTTGTTGACAAGGTTTTACTGTTCAATGCGCAGAAAAAAAGGACGGAAGGGGGGGTTGGCTCCAACCAGACTTTTCTGGGCCTTACACCATTTGCAATGTCACAGGCAAGGCAGTTGTACAAAAAAATAAGTCTCCCAGATACAAACGCATACATCGCACAGACATCCCCGCGACGTATGTGTGCTATCTGGGAACATGCTACTGGTATGCTAGATATAAGAAGCTTGGTGTCAAATGAACGATGATTTTAATTGCACAACCTTGGTGTGAATGAAGAGTTGGTATTTGTGTTACTGTTCAAGTCTCAATGTTCAGATCAGTATGTTCAATCATGTGTCCTTGACCTTCACTGTGTATATTTCTATTATACTGTGTTGTAAATAAAATACTAATAATAATCAAAAACCCACATTATTTTACTCTCGTCACACTCTTTCTTACTTGCCTCAGTCACATTCATATTGATGGCCCATTATGGGAGGCCCTTTGTCTCTCAGTTGTGAATTACTAAATATTCATGGTCATTGTCACTCCCTCGCATAAGGGCATTGTATCACAAAACATGTTTTACAAATGTTAAATAAATAAATTGTTTTCTGTGAACATGATAATTTTCACATAATTTTGTAGCAAAAACTCTAGTCTACCACATCCAGTTCTCAAAAGTCTTGTGAACAAATATTCTGTATGTGTTTTATGGCCTTATTTCATTAACTTAAATATTTTAGTTTTTCATGCTGCTCACATATTATTGTAGCCTAGTTTGTGCTGAATACAGTGTTATCAGAGTTTACCTATTAATATTTTTTAAGAAAAAAACACAAATGTCAAGGCATGCCAAAACTTCTCCAG